CAATGTATTCTTCATTTTATTATCACCTGCATTCTTTACCTGAGTTAATTTCCCGAGGAACTCCGTCACACCACCAGCCTCCACCAAATTTCCTACTCGCAGACGTTATCACTTGAATTGCAGTTCTGCTATTTCACTATTTGTTTTGTTGGCAGGGAAGGAAAAAAAAAAAAGCCTTAAAACAGCTGAGTGCCAGTAGTGCTGGCGACTTCTGTTTTATTTATGTTTTGTACTGAGCCATCGTGAATGACAAAGTATGTCTGGGACAGGGCTGTGGGCAATGCTCTAAGTGTTATAGTTGGAAAGGTGCCAGCGCTGCATTGCTACCAATTTTTTACCATTAGCCTTCTGGAAGGGGGGGGGATTCAAAGCCTCATTTTATTCCCTTCTTCACCAGTGTCACCTTTATACTAAATTAATGTGAGATCTTTACCAGAGATTGAGCAGACAGGATGAGTTGTTGATCCTACGGTTTCGTGATGCAGCAGGAGCAGAGGAACAAATCCCATAAAACATAGAAGCCGGTTTCTCTTCGGATTTGAGCTGTGAGGAGTCAGGAGCATCCTTTGAGATAACTGAATACCCTTGCTTTTGGCTGAAGCTCGTGTGGTGGGATTGCATTAAGCCCATGCTGTCCTGAAGCTCAGCAGAAAGCACTGGGCTCGATCCTGAGGATGTGGCAAAATGCGGCTGTTGCCTGTTCATCTGTGTGGGGACTAATGTCCAAGGCTGTAATTAAAAGATATACCTGCTGATGAATGGATGTGATCCCCTGCTGTGTTCAGAGTCTGCTGTGGGATCTTTTTTCCTGCACTTAGAGTAGGTTGACTTTATTAAATACTTAGCAATAAAACTGTGTTTTCCCTTGCCTGTTTCACAGCCTTCCGACTCCACTGATAGAGCTCCTCTGGGACAGTTGAAAATGTTTACTCAAGTTTAGTTATAGGGAAAGAGCGAAGTTATGAGACTATGTATGAACATGTTACATATACCTGAGTGTGTCCTACGTGTCTGCATGCGTGCACACACATATGGAGTTTTGTTTTTTTAATGGTCACACTAGCAGTAAAAAATAATTAAAAAAGCATAGTATTTAAGCAAGGAGATACAATTTCAATTATTTTTAAGTCCCCACACTCTTTAAATATTTAATCTTTTCTATGCCCAACTAATTTCTTCAATTGCAGTTAGGTAGGTTGAAATTGATTTTTGATGAGACAAACTAATACTTATTTGAATACATACGATACTGTAATACTTGTTTGCAAATCTTCCACCTTCTGGATACTTCTTTTTGCCCTATATAAAGTTGTGAATGCTCACCAGTATTGTCATGTATTGCCAAAAGGCTCAAGCTGCACCTTAAGCTGTTTGACACTCAAATACAAGGATGATGGTGCTGGGTCAGGTGAGGGTCCAGGCAGCTCCTGTTCTCACCCTGATGGTGATCAATAGCTGATGCCGAGGGCCAAGGTCTAACAAGGCTTCCTGTGAGAGTCTCCAGCCTTCATTGATTTGTGGTCTGGGAACATCTCAAGATAGAAGTGGTGTCTTCAAATTTAATATTTGGTCTGATTTGTTACATCTAAAGTGTATCGTTACTTTGTATAATTCATGCTTTCTATCAGTAAAAGACCAAGACTCCTCCAAGGGAAATACTCTCTTTTTACTGGAAAAATGTCTTGTCTGGCTTTTCTGATTAATGAGAACATCTATATGCCTGCTTTTGTGACTTGAAGACTGATCTGATACCACTTAACTATGTTAATTTAGGAATGCACCTGAATATTTAATCCAGGGCTCCAGAAACTGAATGTAAAAATCTGAAGTGGTGGGATAATGAAAGTAATTTGTAGTTTGTCAGCAGTTACCTCCACACGTCTGATCAAAGAAGGATGGGGGGAGCACAAAATTTTAGAGCCAAAACTAACTGAAATTGTGGGATTTATGGTATATAGGGCATTTCTGTAAGTTCAGACTTGGTTTTGTTTCAGATGGGAGCAGTGCCAGCTTCTACAGCTGCTGCAACCTGAAATGAATGTGTTTTTATCAGGGATGCTGGTGTCTGTCTCACTCTGTAGCTGTGGGATGGTGCTGGGGCCCTGGGCTTGGGCAGTGGCTCCTGCAGGTCAGCGTCAGCCCGGGCTCTTCCAGCCCTTTGTTTGGCCACTCACTAGAGCTTCCTCAAGTCAAGGAGGTCTGAGGAGCTTCTCAGGAGCTTTGTGATAAGCTCTCCAGGTTCCTTCACTGTGAGAGGGAAACCACTTGCCTGCTAGGACACTGACCACCAAGTCAGTAGTGGCTTACTGAATGTGAAGTGTTTTTTTTCTGCAAAATCATGCAGGTTTGTGCAACAGGACTCGCATATATCCACCTTCTTTTTTTGTTTTGTTTTGTTGGGTTTTTTTTCCTCCTGGAAGGTTCTGAGCCAACAGAAATGAAATTAATTTTTAGTTGCCTTTTACCTTACCGTATTGCTGACTAGGAGTGGTCCCTGGTCTGCCTCCCTCCCCGTGTGCTTGGGTGATGCACACCATCAGAGTGTGGAGGAAGCACCTTGCCTTCAGATTGGAGCATCCCCACCTTGCTGCTCGTAGGAATCCTGGCCACAGCGGGGTGAGGGATGTCTGCAATGAATGCTTGTATCAGAGAGATGGGAACAGCACACAGTCATTGCATTTTGTCTGACCAAAGTAGTTTTTCCCTCCGTGTCCATGCCGACACCTCCCGTTACGTCCCATCCTCCCGTGTTACCACATGCTGGTGGTTCTCCACGCTTTCAGTCTGGGTCAGGCAACTGCTTCTGTGCTCTCATTCCCATAATGGTAGTGGGTAGGAGTGAGGGAAGCTTTTTTTTTTTTTTTTTCCTTTTGTCTTTGCCGAGAGCTGGAAGTGCTGCTGCTTGTACCGTAAGCGATGGTCCGCCCGGCAGTGCAGGAATTCAGGTGGTAAGGAGACTCTGGGCGCATGCATAGCGGCATATTAAGGCACCGTGCCAACCTCTTACCAAAGAGATTTGCTTCTGATGAGCATTGGCAAGCTGTACTGAACAGGAGTTTTCAAAAACGCATCTTTTCCAACCTGGGACCAGGCTCTGGCACTCAGCTTGCAATGATGATCTGGTCCTGTTATTGTTACTTCTGCTTCTCAGCTGATGCTCGAGTTAATGCACAGAAATGCAGCACTGATTTTCTTTGTGACTCTTTTGCATTAGAATTTGCGAGCAAAAATGCAAACGTAATTGTAACTGTGGTCTCAGGAGATAGAAGCCCCTTAAAAGCAGTAGAATTTTGGTCTTGCTGCTACCTGCAGCTCAAACTACTGCAGCATCAGCCATTTCTGTACCCGTAAGTCATTCAGCAGCTGTTTCAGCTGGCAGTCTGATTTTTCATGGTTAGCCTGGAAGAAGACAGAAACAGTGAAGGTCCACTTTTGTCTTTCGTGTCTGAGCTCAAGAGAGGCGGAAGGTCTGAGAATGTGTGCCAAGGAGAGCAGGGACAAGCTCTGCCACCCTGACTGCTCTTGTGGGTATCTCACAAGCTGTTCCACTTGTAGAGCCTTTGGGTGTGATATGTAACATAAACCACTTATGCAGGGTCCAGTGAAGTAATTATTGCTAAATAAAGTGAATATATTTGGTTGTTCTGATCTGTGTGACCATACTTGCTATGTGGGCTTCTGGTAAAAATTCTATTTTTTTATATCTATAAAGCAGTATGATGCTAACTTTCAATATGGACAGCTTTACACGCTGATTAGTGAAATATTCCTTCTTGCAAGCCCAAAAGCCGACGGGTTTTCCAGATGGCTGTAACCTGTTCATGGGTTCTGCATTTTTTGTGAAGATGTAATGGGATTTTGTGGTGTTTCAAGCTGCCACAGGCTTTCTCCTGTGTAGGAGACCTCTAAGGAATAAATATGTCTGTATATATTTTTTTTTTCTTTGCTCTTTTTGCATTTGTAGGCAAAAGTGGAGTATGTTTACAGCTGCTGTGTTCCATTAATGTTAGAAAACATTAATCTGAGCCTGGTTTAAGGACACAAACCACCTAGTGTGTATGGTATCTGACCTGGGGAGGTAGAGTCCTGCTCTTTGCTTGGTCCTCACCTGCTTTGTGCATCTCTGCCTGGTCTCACTTCCCAGGCTGCGTTGTCTGGGTGGTGAAAGGATGGTCCTTCGAGTGCTTTTGCCTAAACCAGGAATTAGGGATTATTAATGCAGTGGCAGCGATGGACATTTGAACTTCTTGGTGCTGCTTTGAGTTGTTTGGTTGCTGGCAGCATTGCTGCCAGGTGGTCACCTCCATCGCTGTCTTCTCCCCTGGGTGTCTGCAGTGAAGCCCCCATGTCCATGTTCAGTGCCAGGGCCTGTCCCCTTGGAAACTCCGAGCACGTCCAGCAGTGACAGCAGGAAAACGTGGTGGTGCCAAGCCCCCAGGAAACCTCAGGCCCTTTACCTGTCTCTGACAATTGGTTTGGAGATGGAACTTCAGGAACCCATTGTTGAGTGTTGGGCTGACAGTCACCACTTCCCATCAGCTGTGTGGCTCTGATGTGGTTGCCTGTCTAGAGCTTTGAATTCCTTGAATGAGAGTCATTTTAACAGTGCAAAGTATTAAGGCTGAGAATATGTCTCTGTTTTTAATATGAAAGTCCTGTTATTCTGCAGAAATGCCATAATGAATTAAAATATTCCCTATGGAGAAGTGTGTTACTTATTATGATACCAGGCTGGAATAAAAAGCAGCCAGGCTGGCATTCATTTGCTGGTGAGGGGATACTATTAAAGTACTGTAAAGCAAGTGTAGCTTTGCACCACAGTTCTTGAATTCAAAGATTGCCCTCTGAAGGTGCCACACATGATGGATTGTCACAGGCTCTTGTCCTGCCTTGACATTTCATTCCTATCCAATGTTGTCTTACGCTCTGCTCTGAATCTGCCAAACAACTGACCCCAGAATTTAATGCCACACCTTCTTCTCTTCCCTTTTTCTGAACAGCATCTTCTGCAGCTGAGGCTCTGAAATCCTGGAGGACACTGCATCTTCCTCAGGGACACGGACAAGGGGGAGCTGGAGCCTCTGGGGAGCTCAGAAAGGAATTGCGGCTGGTGGTTGCCTGAGGAACTTGCCTTCACACCAATGTTGCTCTGAAACGAGTTGTGTCCAACATTCAGGTTTGGTAAGGTATGTAATTTTCTCCCTGCTCTTGTCTTTTTGCTCTTTTCTGAGTATCTACCTATGGGGAATATAGAAAATTAGCAGCCTTTGTGTTTGTTACGTGCCGTGCTCATACTGCCTCTGTAAATAACCTTTGCTCTCCCTGAATTCAGAGAGCATTCATCAAGAGTGAAGTGTTTTTAAAGTCATGGGCTTGAGGGGGTGCGTGTTTATATCGAGTGCTTTATTGAACAAAATGCCCGCTGATGGTTGTGTTTCGCTGTTGGTCATGTATACTTGGCAACAGGCATCCGCATTTTGAAAGTCCCACTTGTTTGGTTTCACTAATATCTGCAGTTCAGAGGGTCAGAGATGGAGGGGAAAAAAAAAAAGGCACTGAAGTAGCCAATTTGTGATACAGCTCCATGCCTTTCTTTGTGCTTTGTATATTCTCATTGTTTGCCAAGGATGGAAATAATACCAATTTCTTGCATAATTGTATGTGCCCCCTTTGTTGTGTAGCACTTAAAATTTTTTCAGGTGTGGAGGTTCTCATACCCACACAGACACTGCCTTGGTTGTGCTGTATCAGTAACAAGGCAACATGAGACTATCTTTTAACACCAAATCGAGGGCCAGAACTTAAGGAATGCATTGTGCACAAAGCTTGTGCTATGGGAGCATTTAGGGTAATACAGCCTTTGATTCTACCGTTTCTTTTATCTAGGCCAAGTTATTTCTGTGAAGGCAAAGTTTGCTGATAAAAAACCCACCAAATTTAAAGCATTGGTTCCCAGATCTCGGTAGAACGGTATCAGATGATGCTATCCTTTTTCATTTAACACATGGGTATTGGCTTCTCTTATATGACTAAACCAGCAGTATAGTCTTGTTGAGAAAAATAAAGCAGCAATATAACACCTGCACTTGGTGTTACTGGAGGGGGAAAAAAAGTTTAAAAAAAAAAAAAATAATAAAGACTTTCTTAAAAGTCTCTAAATAAATTTGAGGCATCCAGACGTGTGTGCATTCATTCTCCTGCTTTTGATTAGGCTGCACCAGTAGTGTTACCTCTGGAAATTGTAGGCTCAAACTCTCATCCTTCAGCAGAGCTCTGCTGGTGTGGAGCCCGCCTGTCTCCAGCGATTGCAGAAGAGGTTGGTGGCAGCAGCTTAAATTAGGTGCTTAACTCTTAAATGTTGAGGGTCAGGAAAGGTCTCTTCCCACCGCACTGTATGCTGTTAATTTGTGCAGGCATTTCAAGAAAACAACGCTGTTGTCAGGCAGGAGAGGTTCCCATCATTAAAACCTCTGCAGTGCTGGCTCTGTTTGTCTGTCTGCTCTGGTGGCACCTGCTTTCTGGAAGAGGAGGTTGTTAAACATTGCTCATGCTTTTGTTATCATCTTCACTGTTGTTTATTTCCAAGCTGCTGCTCTTGTGATTATAATACCTAAAGGGGAAAGCTGTAGGAGAGGTATTTCATAATCAAGAGGGCTTCTTGACTCTTGCAGAGAAATATTTTCCACTATTATAATGTGAAAATCTCAGCAATTTGTTTGTTCCCTGTTTCTGTGTGAGATTTGTAGGTGAAAGGGTGTAAATCCTCCTTGCAGTGTGTGTGTGTGTTTTGCTGGGTGTGCAGGGTGCCCCAGGGCGTGTGAGGATGCACACCAGAGCAGTTGGTTGCTGGTGTCACCGTGGTGCTGCCCCTGCCTTGGGGACAATGTCCTTCCCACCTGAGTCGGTCTGACTCTTGCTCTCCAGGTTCATGTCTCAGGCTGCAGTGTGAGCATCACTCTGGTGCAGAGGTCATGCAGAACTTCACAGAACCTCACCATTTCAGAGGACAAAGAACATTTTCCATATGTGAAACGATTATTTAGGCATTAAACTCCAGCTTGGACCTTGGTTATACTTTTTGCGTTTTACTTTGTCACCATCAGAGCTAGCAATTTGGTTTTTATTTAAGGAAAGCTCATGTAATTATTGTAAACTGATCTTTAAGAAGAACATTGCAGATTGAGAAGCTTGTTCTGGAGTTTAAAGAGTTGGCAACACTGCTGTTTGTTCGTTCAAGCAGCTGAGACCCTTTTTTATCCTTTCTCTTCATCTAGAGGGCTCACGCAAACTTACCTGAAGAGTTGACTACCATCAACTTTATCTGTTCCCATGACACCCTTGTAAGAGAGAAGGGCTACTTACCCCCATTTTGTAGATGGAGAATAAGGAACAGAGTCACTTTGAGCTCACTGTTAAGCAGTGAACATCTATCTCTGATTTGCATGCAATCACAAGAGCAAAAGGTGTGTCAGATACCCACAATCCCACAGCTGGAGACACGAAGATGGTCTTGGCTGAGCGGCTGAGTCTACAGGGCAAAGCACCAGCTTTGGATGTGGATCCATCTGGGGTCACTGCTCCGATCTGAGCCAGTTTATTCCATGTGTCCCGCTCTCCCAAGTAGAGGGTGTTTTAATTAAGTGATTACAGTAACACCAAATGACATCAGGACCCACGTTTGCTCTGTGTCTCTGCTGGAAATGGCAGCATATGTCCAAATAATGTGAGCTGAGCTCATTCATCTTTGCAGCAGAATGTTTGCTCATGTGAGGCAGCAGATTCCCTTTGAGCAGCACTTATGCCATTGTGGTGATGGTAATCTTATTGGGTAAGGAATTATTTTAAATGGATCTGTAGATAATATGCAGAGTAATATTTTTTTCCTTAAATTGTTCATTTTTTAGATTAGAATCCGGTTAGTAAAATGCTCTGTTCTGCTGAAAAAGCACATTTAATAAATATGTAAGAGAAAAATTTTAAGTAGCCATTAAACATAGTTAATAAATTTTATCTTGCAAGTAGAATTGGAAAAAACCCTGTTCATTTAATGTGTTTTATGGATCTCATAGCAATTAATTGTCTTCATTACATGGGCATAAATCCTCAGTGTAATTCACCTTTTTCAGATGAATTGCTCTGGAACTTTTCCCTTTGCTTTGTTTAGGCTGTAATATTATTTCGGCTTTGCAGAGCAGTGGGCAGGTGTCTTTTTCTCACTCTGTGTGGTCTAGTGAAACATTATTTCTCTCTTCAAATCTGTCTTGCTTCTTATCTGATTTCATTTATGAAATCAGAAACAAACACTGATTTTACGTGCCTCTAGGTTTGGATGTCAAAATAAGGCCTTAATGTGACTTTTTGATGGCTCCATCGAGAGGTGCAGGTCTACTGGCTGTGGGTGAAAACATGTCAGTAAAATTGTCCTCCCGTGTTCCTGCAGGAAAAGTTCAGCTGGAGCATCACGGTCCATCTGCTTGGGTTCCCAAAGTTAAATTCAAAGCTTTATTTTGAATAAAGGCTTTATTATTCTTGGCTGAATTTTGCCCACCAAATAGGAAAACAGGACAGCATGTAGGATCGCTTTTTACATATGTTTTTATCACTGCGCATGCTGGGCTTGTTTGTGTGAGTAATATTTATGCAAATATTTTCTAGTGTTTCTCTGAACTATTTTGCCAGGGTGAGGAGATAAAATGGCTATTATGTTTGTAAGTTTTGTTGCAAGATCAGCAGACTGGCTGTTAACGTATCAATTCCCTCGATGACACCACTCCTGCAACCCTATTCACTCAGCTTCTCCTGACAGGGCTTTTATTGAATCCATCAACCTGACACATATCAAAGCACAATTTCTGATAACAAATATCTTGGTGTAAAATGAATTAAAAAGCTGATATCAGCAGCAGGACTGGGTTGAATTTCTGAAAGAAAATGAGAAACTCCAAAACTAACATGAGATTCTTAAGATACCAATCGCAGAACAGTAATATAATAGTTCTTTACCTGTACTCTTGAAGTACTAAGAAGTCAAGGGGTCTGCCCAAAGTCATACACATGGGCTTGTTCCTGGGCTGTCAGCCTGTGGCTCTGCCTTCTGGGCTGATGTTTGTAGTGTCGCTTCAGGGAGCATGATCTAATAGTTGTTTATTTTCTCCTGGAGACCTCTCTCCTGTGAGGACCAACGACCTCCTTGTAATTACTTTGCACTCTGGTCTTTGAGAAATTTGGAGACTGAGGAGTGGGAAATGCCAACCGAGGTCTGAATGGAGTTAACAGCTTCTTTCTCTCGGGAGATGCAACAGTTTGGAGCCCCTTGTCCTCTGCAGAGCTGCTGCTTGGCAGCCCATGGGCCATGTCTGGGGCAGAGTCCAGCTGGGGTGGAAATGGATGTGCATTTCTCTGGGCCGCAGATGTTTTGCGATTACCTGGCTCAAAACCTTCTCAGAACATTTCCATATCTCCTTGCTTCTTTCTCCTGTCTGTCGCCCTCTCTTCATCCTGCTTTTCTGTCCCCTTCATTTTTGCATCTCTTAGAAGATAAGCAGCTCCAGGCAGGGCTGCCTCTGCGCTGGTTCTGTTCTCACGGTGCCCAGGCCCGCTTACTTCTTATTTTTGGCTGGCACGTGCTATAAAGTATTAGTTAATAATAATCATGCTTTTTGCTCTGTGGCACGTCTGCTCTTTGGATACGCATCCACTGGCAGCTTGCAGCCTAGCAGAGAGGAAGAGGAGGGCGGCCAACAGTTGATGTGGAAAATTAATTATGAGCTACCGTCCTCCTGCCACGTGGTTGAGGCAGTTCTGCTTTCCAAGCTTTACATCCAGCCTCGCAGGAAAAAAAAGGAGGGGAATACTGCATTTTCTTCCTTGAATAGTGGGAATGTTGCCAGAACAAAGCTTAGTGGAGAATGTCACACGTGGGGCTGATCGCTCAGGATGCTCTAAAGCCTTTATGGCTCTGCCTGCAGCTGTGACACCACCCAGATAGTAATTTTTACCATTCATTAGACAAATGTTAGCTTAATTGCTCATCCTAGTTGGTAAAGGCCTGTGTGTGTGATAGGGAAGTCACCCGTGTCCCAAATGCAGTCATGGAGCAACATTTTGTGTTTCTTGATGGCGGTGACTTGGTAACGTTCAGGTTCAGATGAGCTACAGCTTGTTATATTTTCATCCTTCAGGATGA